CTGTGATGACGTCAAATGCACGCTTTCGTCGACCGCGATTTTGTCGTCCGCGGTTTTGTGGTGGAACCGGGGTGGGGTTGCACACATAGAATGATGGGTGTGGGCATGCCCACGCACAGTCCACCTGCGCTTGGCACGCAATGGCAAAAAGGTTAGTCATCACTGGTATATTCCATCCAAGAGCTAAAACAGTGATAACAGCTCTGTGGGATAGGTTGGGGTGAGACAATGCTGCTGAAGCAAAGGGAACTTCTATGGCCAAGGGTGGAGCTGAATTGAGCCTCCTCTCTGCCAATACAACATCTTAATCACTTAATCACCAAACTGGTATATTTATAACATCACTTCTGTTTATTATTTGCATGAATTATTTGGCCTGTGATGCAATCAGCACTTACTCAAGAAAGCTACATTATTTGTTTCCTATGCACATGAAATTTAACCACTCTCTTAAACTCCCCTGATTTATGTCAATAAAGCAGATAGTTCTGAACACACATTAATTTACAAGTAAATTATCAGCAGTCGGTGGTGATTTTGATGAAAGAAATGCATATCTATGGGATTTTTTAAAATTAGATACCCTGAAAATGACAAGTCTAATGGGAACCTGCGAAAACCTTACCAAGTTTTAAAAACTTAAATATAGTAGTAATAGCTATACAAAATGTCAATTAAAGTTGGCACGTATATGCAATCCCATGAAAGGTAGTACCTGCTACCATCTGGATACATGGCATATTTTAACAGACAAAGCTAACTCTGAATGATGTTTGGACTTTTCCCTTCTGTGAAATGATCTCCACCAATCCACAAGTGGTCAGAACAATTTCCTAACATGAAATTTACTGTCTGCTTTATTAGTCCCTGTCCGGCCTATAGTCTCTTTTTTATATAACTGAACTTCCTCCAGAGTAACATGTGGGACAAAGCTAGGATTTTATACCTGTGTATGTTGAAACTGCCTTCAGACAACAGCAGTGACGGGCAAAGGGGGAAAAAATGGCTTTAGCCTCAATACCAATACGAATGCCTCATAGATGAAATAGGGAAGAGACAGAGGTTCTATAATGGGGACACAGTAACAAAAAAGTTTCCAGGACTTATTTTCCCTGCAGATAGGTGAAAGAAAAAGTATGGAAAGTGCCTCTTTCAGGGTTTCACTGTTGTATTCACAAAGTATTCTTTAAACTATCCTTTCACAGCTAAGTGTGCCCCAGATGCATTGAAATCTTCCATAATCCCTATGTAACCTCTGAAATCCGGCACCTCTGGAGGTATTATACTGGGGAAAGCTACTTTAGAAAGAGAATTTTCTAAAAGAAATAACCCCTTAGGAAAGGAGTTTCTTCTTTAAAAATAATAAAAACAAGAAAAAAACATTGTTTTAAGAAAGTCAAATTAAAATGTTTTAAGAAATGTTGATTTAAAAAATATCAGGACAAGTTAACTATATTTTAACTAGGATAATCTCCAATAGGATCATCAAATGATATATAAACTACCGGAGACATGCAGGCCAGTTGGATACATGTATTCAGAGGGAAGAAGTAAACATCTCCAGTATGTCTAAAATATAGAGTTTGTCTCAATTATTAATTGCTAATAATTACATATGAATTCATGTTCTTGAAAATATCTTAAGATTTTTGGTGAGCTAAAATACATGATGAAAAAATTTCATTCTAGAAACTCCACCAGGACACACATTAATAATACTGTGATGTAGTGTTCTTAATCGATGAAATATTCTAATGAAATCTAAGAGCCAGCCTTTAGTGGCTGAAAGATTGAGCTGATGTGATTGCCAAAATAAAGTGTGTTTATGTTTCTGTAGGAGATGTGATAATGTGTAACATTTTCCCACTAAAAGTAATGATAAGTCATGATTATGTAAAATGTAATTGCCTAGCCAGTTGTATTTACACATATTTCATGACCTAATGATGTTCTAAAGTTTTTGTACTCAGTTTGACTTTATAGTGATTTGCTGCTTGGCAATTAACCTCCTTCACCCCAGGCATTCTAAGTGTAATTGTTTAAGAAAAATATGCAGAGGAATAGATGGAATATCATTTTAGTATAATAAAATATTCCCTACCTGGGGCCTTCTGTATGTTAAGATTTTACTGCCAGCATAGTCTTAGCAGAAAAACCTGCCTGGCTCCACATTTCAACAGTCACATCATTCTCTAGTAATTTTGAAGTTCTAGACCAGCGTTTGTTATAGGAGTAATTAAATCAAGACATCTGACTAAAAAGTGGAAATAGAAAATTCAGGTCTAAACATAATCTACCAATTAACAAAGACAGTGTTACAATTTCCAAGTTAAAAGTGGCCTAGTCCTTGTGATTGACTACACATATGGCTTAACACGTCTTAGAAATGGCTCAACAGAATACACAGTAGTGGAAAGCTTTAACAGTTACCAATTTCCAAAAGAAAAGGCACGTTTTTCCAACCCACCCATGCTTCGTATAAAACGAGAGAACTGCAGAATTTTGCTCTCTATCGTAATATAGGACAGAGTGATCAACATGGACCTGCGGAGGTATTACATGTACTCTAAAAGTCTCTACTAAAGTCAGGGGAATAGAGTAAAAAAAAAAAAGCGAAATATAATGCCGAAGAACCGTAGAGGCACATCATCGTGGTGTTTTTTTAAACTGCAATCGAGAAAATTGATTTTCGGAATATATTTTCCTCTTTATGCGTTCCTCTTTATGCGCAGGTTTCTGGTTGCAACATCGTATACGGGTAGTTCAATATTAACAGCGATCTGGCGGCGGCGGAATTAAAGAAAGATGCGCCGAGAAGGGCGCCAAGTTGGCTGTCGGACCCTCAGCTAGCCGGGCGAGGGTGTGTATTATGTAGTACTGAGAGCCGGAGCTCTCTCGCCTCTTCGCCCGCCTCCTTTGTGGGCGGGGATCAGCTGCGACTGGGTTAGGTTGCGTCTCCCTGCGTGTGTCTATAACTTTGTGTTGCCGCTCCTGGTTGTTAGGAGAAGGAATGTGGAAGTCGGCGGAGAGGAGGGCGACAGGTTGCTCGAGGGAACGGCGGCAGCTCCAGGGTTTCTCTTCCGCCGCTGGTCCGCCGCTTGCTTTCTCTCCGGAGAGGGAGCGTGCTGCCAACGGTGGGGTTTCCCCCCTCATTTTAATGCCGCTTCTGCTACTTAAAGTGGAACGACTCGGGAACGGCTCCAAAATCAAGAATCCTGCAGCAGCAGCAGCAGTAGAATCGGCGCCTCGTTTTCCTTCCGTGCATTTGGAGCTGGATTTTCCGCCTGCCCAACGCGCCCGGCTTTGAGCTTCGCCTTCCAGACCGCTGCTTCTCGCTTGCTCCTTTCGTTCGCCCTGCCTGCTTGACCTCTCGCCCTGCCTTTCCCCCCCTTTTTTTTGGCCGACGCTTTTTTTTTTTAAATGACTTGAGTGGTGGTGGAGGGGAACTGTCAAGATGGCAGCAGCAGCGGCGGCAGGAGCGAGGAGGTTATGAATGTGGTGGTGTTGCCGCCGCCGATGCTGGAGCGAAACCCCGGCAGCCCGCGGAGGACTTGGGTTCCCGGACCTGTTGGAAGATCGGCGATTGAACTTGTTTGAATTCTCCGCGTCACTTTCTTTTACGCCGAGGGAGAAGATTTAAAAGAAGGAGAAGGCAGGAGAAGGACGGGCGTTTTAAGTTTTCCTCTCCTTGTTAAAAAAAAAAGGGGGGGTGGCTTCTCTTGCCCGCCGCCCTTCACCGCTTTCGGATTTCTTTTCTTGTCTTTTTCGGAGGAGGAAAAGAGAGCGATCCCAAATGGGGAAGCCGCGATTGGATGGGTGTTAAGGCTTCGGTGCTCTCCGTGAAGGCGCTGGGAAGAAGGACTTGTAAGACCGAAGGCGCCCATCAAACCAGCAACAGAGAGACTCGCGAACCTCTTTCTTTTTTNACCTTGACTAGCTTTCTCTGAACCTTTGACGTCAAATAAAACTTTTCCATGATCCTGAAAAGTCTGAGTCCCGTGATTTTCTGCAACACTTTTGAAATAATATAAACACAATATCTAAACACAAGTGTGTTATTGATCATATTAATAATGAATGTAATAGGTTTATAAATTTCCAAAATGTGAATATGTCAGCCTAAATAACACTAGTAAATTATCAAATTTAATTTCACTAATGCATCACTTTAAATTTTACTCATTACAAATAGACAGGAGTTCTGCATAATTTAATCATAGCAAAGAATTTGGTGAATAGGAATAAAGTTAAATGTGCTTTATTAAAGTGAACTCTTCTAATAAAAACTTTCGGTAGACTTTGTTTGTAACAAACCTAAAATTAGGATATAATTTACTGGAATTTGAGGAACTTTAAATCTTTAAATTTCCATAAAGATGGAAATAGTTGCACTAGAAATTGTTATATATTCAGAGATGTGATTGACTAAAGGTTCTAGTCCAGGGGTGTCAAACTCACATCATCATGGCAGCGTCCTGTGACAGATGGGTTGGGAATTTGACATCCCTGTTCTAGACTATCATTATTTTCTTCAACTTTATCCTCATACTGTTGCGTCCTCCTGACACAGCCGGCAGTCAAACCACACCCTGCCGCAACCTGATTGGTCCAGGTGCGATTGGCTGCCGGCGGGAGAATTGTGCCTCTCCCATTGGCTGGCTGCCTGACAGCTATCCGTATAAATAGCTGTCAGGCGACGCTGTCCGGTGCGTGAGTTCTGAACCTGTTGATGTTAAAGCCTGTTGAAATAAAGCCTGTTAACTTTACCTCACGCCTCGCATCGTACTAAATACTTGGCGACGAGGATGAGCGACACCGAACCACTCCATATTCCGGCCCTTGCCGCTGCCTCATCGTTCGCTCCATTTCGGCCTGAAATGGAAAGCTGGGATTTGTTCTTGAACATTTTGAAGTATTTCTTCAAGCCCACAGCATGACTGACTTGCCTGAGGGACGAAAGAAGGGGGTCTTCCTTCATTACTGTGGGGCACTGCCCGTGCCCTCGCCGCTCCTTCTCCGTCCCATGCCATTCCGTTTGACGTCCTTCTCGGCCGCCTAAAGATCCATTACGAGCCGGCTCCCTCCCGCTACTCTAGGCGACAGCATTTCCGTTGCTGCATCCAGCGGGAAGGCCAGTCCATTGCTCAATACGTGGCGGCTCTTCGCACCGCCGCCATGGACTGCGAATTTTATGATCTCGATGATGCCATCCTAGAGCAATTCATATACGGCCTCTGTGACATCAACCTCCACCGGCGCATCCTCGCTCGGACCGAATTGTCCTTGAAGATCACCGTGGATGAGGCCAGGGCGTACGAGATGGCTGGCCAGTCCACCCCTGACTACCGCCGGTTCCCGCCCTTGGTCTTGGCCTCGCTTCCTCCGTCATACCAGTGCCGGGTGTCCCACGAAGAGCCTCGGCCCGATTTCGATACCTCCGTCGACCGGCTGCGTTCCCTCTCCTTCAAGGACGCCGGGTCCTGTCTCAGCTGTGGCAGTCGCCACCAGAGTTCCTCCTGTCATTTCCGCGCCGCCCTCTGCCGCCAATGTGGCAAGAAGGGCCACATTGCCGCTGTATGCCAGTCCCCTGCTTCGGCTCCTCGGGCCTCCAGGGCTCCCACCGGCCATTGTCCGGCCTCTACTCCTTCTTCTGCTTCCCACTGCTACGCCGTGTCTGAGCCGGACAGGTTCGCTCCTGATTGGACTCTGCCTCCACCACTTCAGGCGGCCAGGGTAAGCTCCATCTCCGGGTCTTGCTGGATGGCCGCCCCTGCTGGATGGAGCTCGACACCGGCTCCTCAAGGACCATCGTCTCCTGGGACACTCTCAAAAAACTTTTTCCCAGCTTCACGTGGAAACGACTCGCTGCTTCCCCTTGCCTCCTTCAGGGGTCTCCCGATTCCAGTCCTGGGTTGCATAACGTTGCCGGTCTAGTATGGCCGGTTCCATGGTCCTTTGCCCCTTATTGTGGTCAGGAACTCCTTGACCTCACTCCTGGGGCTGGACTGGTTCCGGGCCTTTGGGTTGTCCATCGCTGGCAGCAACTCCCTCCGGCTGGCTTCCGATGTCGACCTGTTGGTGGCAGAATTCGCCGATGTATTCAGCGAGACCCTGGGCTGCTACACAAGCACCCCAATTTCCCTGAACCTTGACCCCTTGGTAGCCCCCATTCGCCTCAAAGCCCGCTGAGTGCCATTGGTGCTGAAGGCTAAAGTAGACGCTGAGCTGGACAAGCTCATCACCCAGGGCATCCTCGAGCCCGTGGACCACGCCCCCTGGGAAACCCTCATAGTGCTTTCCCTGAAGTCAGATGGCTCCCTGAGGGTCTGTGCTGACTACAAGGCCACCCTCAATAAGGCCTTACAAGCCCACCCCTACCTTGTCCCCGTCGTCCAGCATGTGCTGCATTCCCTGGGCCAGGGCAAGATTTTTGCCAAATTGGACCTGGCCCAGGCGTATCAGCAACTGCCTGTGGACGATGCCACTGCCACTGCCCAGACAATTGTCACTCACAGGGGGGCGTTCCGCTGCACTCGCCTGCAGTTTGGCATCAGCGTCGCCCCCGGCCTGTTCCAGGGACTAATGGAGCGCCTGCTCCATGGGATCCCTGGCGTGACGCCATACTTTGATGACGTCCTGATTGCCGCCCCGGACCAATCAGGACTCATCTCCACGTTACGGGCCGTCCTCTCCCGTTTCTGAGCCTCTGGACTGCGCCTCAAGTGCTCCAAGTGCTGCCTCGGGGTTCCCGCCGTAGATTTCCTTGGGTTCCGGGTGGACGCCCAAGGCATCCACCCCTCCCCTGCTAAAATAGAAGCCATTACCAACGGGCCAACCCCCTCTAACAAGGCGGAGCTCCAAGCCTTCTTGGGGCTCTTGAACTTCTACGCTGCCTTCATCCCCCATAAGGCTTTGGTGACAGAGCCCCTGCACCGCCTCCTAGATTCCTCTGCCCCCTGGACCTGGACCAGCCGCGTAATTACAGCCACCTGGACAAGGAAGCGCTGGTGGCCGTAGCTGGCATCAAAAGATTCCACCATTACCTCTACGGCCACCCCTTCACACTCCTTACCGATCACAAGCCCCTCCTGGGCATCCTAGCAGGGGACTGCGCCACACCCCGTATCCTCTCCCCGCGCATGTCCCGCTGGTCCAAGTTCCTTTCACGTACACTTACCAGCTGCACTACCAGCCTGGCAAGCACATGGGCCACATGGATGCCCTCAGCCAGTGCCCGTTGCCCCTCCCACTCTCCGACCCGGCGTCTTCCTCATAGACAACCTGGAGCTGCCACTCTCCGCCTCAGATTTCGCCACCTCCACAGCTACCGACCCACTCCTCTCGCACATGTTAGATGCCGTTTGCTGGGGCTGGACGGCGGACTCTCGGACTCCCGACTTCCAGCCGTTCCTCCGCCACCACACCAAACTTTCCGTCCTCCAGGGATGCCTCATCTGGGGATCTCGAGTAGTCGTACCGCCCTCCCTCCACCAGCTGGTGCTCCGCCGGCTCCATGAGGGTCACCCGGGCATAGTCCGCATGAAGGCCCTCGGCCACGGCTATGTCTGGTGGCCCTCTATAAACGCCGACATCACTGGCTGGGTGCAGCGGTGCCCTCCCTGCCAGGCGGTCCGCCCCGCGCCTGCATCTGCCCTGCCCCGGGAATGGGACACCCCCTCCTCTCCCTGGAGCCGCCTTCACGCCGATTTCTTCGGCCCCATTGATGGCCACTCCTTTCTGCTGCTCGTCGATGCCCTTTCCAAATGGGTGGAAGCTGTCCACCTCTGCTCCCTCACCTCTGCCACAACTACCCATGCCCTGGAGTGCCTGTTCTCCACCCACGGCCTCCCTGACACATTGGTGATCGACAACGGTCCCCAATTTACATCGGCTGAATTCCGCCTCTACCTCGCCAGCTTAGGAATCCACCATGCCCTGGTGGCCCCATACCACCCAGCCAGCAATGGCATGGCGGAATGCGCTGTTCACTCTGCCAAGGAGGGCTGGCCTGCTTGAGCCACCAGCCATGGACAACCAGCACTCCACCCCCTGCGCTGCCACTGGAAGATTGCGGGCCGAGATCCTCATGGGCCGCCGTCTCCGCACCACCCTGGACCGGCTGCACCCCCACTTCTCTCCCCTCTCTGCTCCCCTGACTTCCACCCCTAGAGCTTTCCATGTGTGGGAGGAGGTCTACGCCCAAAATTATTCAGGCAAGCCAAAGTGGGTTCTGGCCGTGGTCCAGGAACTAACAGGACCCTGTTCCTACAGGGTCCAACTTGGCGACGGAAGAATTTGGCGGCGCCATGTAGACCAATTGCGCCGCCGTGCATTGGTACCACCTCCCAGACAACAGGGCCGAGCCACTCCGACATCTGCACCTGACCCTAGCCTCCAGCCGCAACCGCAAGGACCTCGGCGCGCACCTCCAGATGACTGCCCACCTCCACCCATCGCAACTGCTGCCTTGCCTACCAGTTTCGTTGCAAGGCTAGGGGCTGGGCCTCGGCCTCCTTGCCTACCAGTTTCAGTGCAAGGCTAGGGGCTGGGCCTCGGCCTCCACTCCTCCTCCTGAACGGAGCTCCTCCTCCATGACCGTCCTCCTCGGAGACCACACCTGAACTGAGGCAGTCCCAGCACGTGCGCAGTAGACCAAGATACTTGGACGACTACGCATGTGCCATCCAGGGGGAAGGGGTGTTGCGTCCTCCTGACACAGCTGGCAGTCAAACCACGCCCTGCCGCAACCTGATTGGTCCAGGTGCGGTTGGCTGCCGGCGGGAGAATTGCGCCTCTCCCATTGGCTGGCCGCCTGACAGCTATCCATATAAATAGCTGTCAGGCGGCGCTGTCCGGCGCGCGAGTTCTGAACCTGTTGATGTTAAAGCCTGTTGAAATAAAGCCTGTTAACTTTACCTCACGCCTCGCGTCGTACTAAATACTCATACAACATTTTATAAACCTTGTCATAATACAGATTTTCTGGAAGAAAATATGAAATCGTGTATAAGATCTATCTGGTTTGGGAGTTATGCTAAGTTATACTAGACTTGCCTAAAGGTTTATGAATCTTTCAAACATCACTAATTAGCATCAGAGAATGAATCATGTCTTCTACATTTTCCCATTGTCTTTCATAGAGTAGCTGAGGTAAACAAAGGATAAATAGTAGTGCTAGGATGTTGCTTAATATTACAGGGTTCTACTTATTATTGCAAGTGATGCAGAGGTGGGTTCCTACCGGTTTGATGTGGTTTGGCTGAACCAGTAGTGGTATGGTGGCCTGGGTTGCCGGAACCGGCAGCAACCCAGGCCTGCCACGCCCCAAACTGGTTCCCCAGTTGCTGCCATTGCCACCATCTCATTATTGAGTTTTGCGCATGAACAGAACAATTTTAATTAAACTGTGCATGTAGCCGCACGAGTGAACCTGCAGTAAAGCCGGCCAGAACCCACTCCTGAAGTGATGTACATCAAACTGAATTCAAAGCATTGCCTTATTTACTTCTAGCTCAAGAATAGGAACTAACTTGGTGTGCATGCAGAGAAGTATTTTGAAAAAGATATTCCACTGTTATACCCCACTAACTATTAGAACACTTTGGGATCAAAGATCTCAAAAATATGCAACACAGGTTTAAAAACTATATTGAGTAATTTTTGATATTTTTACTTTACTATGCTACCAGGTGTCTGATTTTGTAGCATGTAGATTACCATGCTACAAAATCTGATTTTTGAAGATATTTCTAAAATTCTCTGCATTTTATTTTTTGAAATGCAATGTAAAGCAATCCTTATAATTTTGATATTTAATAAGACATATCATTATTTCTTGTTAAAAATACTTTTTCTACTTTACCATAGCACTCAGGACCCCATCTCCTTTAAAAAAGAAAGAAAGAAAGAAAGAACTGATTCATGACAAATACATTAACAACCTACTCTGCAGACTCAGATGCAGATGTGATATTTCAAAGCAAATACAATGGCTCTTTAAGCTGTTTGCATTTTCCTGTTTGATAAAATTAACTTGACAGCATTTCACTATTTCAAAATCATTTTGTCTGCAAGTATTGATCTCTAAATATATTAAATACCTTTTTATTATGTAGATGTTTGTATCTTTTGAAGTGTACTAATAAATATTATTCTAAGAACTTTCCCTGAAGATTTTGCAAACTGAAACAAGTATTTGGTTTATTGCCAAGTTTTCAAATTCTGTTTTAATTTTTTTTAAAAACATTTCTATATTTCTGCTGAAAGAAACCATAGAAATGTATGTCTGTACATGGATTTTACACATAATTGGGCCTGTATGTATGTGTGTTATGTTCTGATAGTCTTTCAAAATTAACCACTGAAAAATAGGTATATAACTATTTTGCTTTACATTAGCATTGTCCCTTTGGTTTTTTGAGTTCCTATTGGTTTTGCAAGCTTGTTGATCTTTCTGTAAACAGCAGGATTTAGAAATAAATTATGTCAAGATACGATATTTGTTAAATGCCAGTCTCTGGAAATTGATCATAAATATCACATATTTGAACAATTATGTTGCTTTAGATGACAGGACATATTCTTCCAAGAGTAGAACAACTCACTTAAATTAAGAAAACCCAAAGGTTAAGCATCATTCTACTTTTTTTTCTATTCTAGTAGGAATACTCAAGTGATTTTGTATTAGCTGCACAGTTATAATGAGGCAATTATTAAATGACACACAGGTTTCTATGTTTGATCCAGGAAATTGGAGGGCTAGGACTTTATATTATTGAAGAAATTATTCCAGATTCAGTGCTGAATTGCTAATGCAATGCTGTGGTAAGAAGCAAGTGTCTTGAAAGCTGGAATACAGTGGCTCAACATAACTGAATTACAGTTAAAATTAAAATTATGCCAAAATGGGAGATCACTGAAGAGGAAGTTTTGCCCCTGTGGAGGGGTGTCTACTTTACAGTTTAATTTGGTCTTGATTTTTTGGTTTCAATTACCTAGCAGGGCTAATACCAGTATGATGTTTCTGATATCCAAGTTAATGACAGAATATTTTTAAATTATTATCATATTCAAGTGGTACAATGTTAGTAGTAAGAAGTATATACCATTTTTATCAATAGGTTTAGCCCCCCCCTTTGTTTTGTTTATGTTGTAACCACACCCCCTTTTGTGACATGTTTGTGTTGTAGTTCCACCCTTTTTGTGATATGTTTTGTTTACAGTGTAACCCCTCTCCTTTTATGACATCATCACAACCCCACAACCCTAACCTCCCTCTCATCACCCCTCTCACCCCTGCCCTCACCCTCCCTTACCTTGAAGGTCTATAACATCATATCCTCCAACCTCTCCCTGAACCCCTTTTTCTTTATTTTAAAGAATTATCTTACTGGCTAGTGAACATCTGGAGGAAAGGGAAGCATTAATTCAATGATGTTTAAAAATGAACCTATTGTCCATGAGCCAGGAATTGTCAGTGTGATGCCATATGGATTAATTCTTTTTCTTAACACACTTTCTAAACATTAATTAGAGGATTGTTAATCTTACTGAATTTTGCAAATGTCAAAAATGTTCTAAACTATTTTCGCTTATGTTTGTCTTTTGCTAAGACGCAAAATTCTGAGGCAGCATCTCACCATGTGCTTGTGAAAAAAAGTAATTCCAGTTGAGGTTTCTTTTTGTACAGGACTGAAATTGAAGGCTTTAAGCCCAGGATCTAGGAATTACTATAGCATCTTAAGGCTCAAATATGCATACATCTACTGAAAAATGTTTTCAAATTACACTTTCATATAACTGGAATTCAAGTACAAACCATTTGACTAGTTGCAACTTTTTATGAGATGGATATTCTGCACAAATAAATCATTAAAATTATTTCTAGTATTGTGTCTAGTACAAGACAACACAATTTAAGGAAAAGTTAAAGTACATACAAAAGGTTTAGAGTAGGATAGGTACACTGGTAACCAATGAAAGATGAGGGAACTAGATATGTTTAAACTTCAGAAAAGATGACTGAAAGAAAGATGATATCATTCTTCAAATAACTGAATGGATGTCAAAGCCTGTCTCATTCCATTCTTTTATGTGGAATATTGGATTTAACTTATAGGAAAGTGGATGTTAATTAAATACAAGAAAAAACCTCTACTTCCTAACTGTAAGACTCCTCGGCAATGGCACCAATTATCCAGAATATTGATAAACTTTATTTAATTGCATATGACATCTATGGGCTTCTCTGGCTTGGATAGTCTCAGTATGGACATGGGAAATCCTGAGGCAAAAAAAATCTGATTAATAGAAATTCAAGCCATTTATGCATTGATTTGAATCCCCAAATTGAATATGATTTAAATGGCCCTTTCAATTCTATAATTCAGTGAATTCCTATACTTCTTTTGACTTTGATTTTGGATGGGCTTACCTTGCAATTATCTTGACTCTTAGTCCTACAACCTGACTGTAATACCACAACTTTCCTAATAATCATATTGTCTACTCCCTCATTTTATAAGTGTATCCTTGTAACCTTGCAACTTTAATTGCCCCTCAGACAGGGCTCGCAACTTGGGAGTCCTCCTGGATCCACAGCTGACTTTAGAACACCATTTGTCGGCTGTGACCAGGGGGGCATTTGCC